AATGGTAACGCGGTCGACATCATCTACAATGATTGCTTCAAAAGAATGAATATACAGAATCCAGATTGGCGCCCAGCCACTTTACCATTGATGGGCTTCTCTGGGCACACGATAATCCCAAGTGGGATCGTCATGCTTCCAATCACGGTAGGGACGTATCCTCGAACGGTAAATCTAACAATGGATTTCGCTATAATCGATGCTCCCTCGCCATTTAATATGACTCTAAGACGGCCGTGGATGTGCCAAGCCCGTGCTGTTTGGTCACCTTATCACTTGGTCATGAAGTTCCCAACGGAATACGGGATAGGAGTAGTTCAAGGGTGCCAACGGAGCTCTCGAGAATGTCTTCTCACGGCAGTAAGAATCGGGAAGAAAACGGTAAAGCCAAAGCTGGCTGCTACAGCATCGGGGTGCTACTCGATTCGGCAAGGCGTGTCGAGGGTCGAGTGTGACCAGAGGAAGCAAGAGATCCCAGACATCGACCTCGATCCAGAAAACCCCCCGCTCAGCGGCAAGACGGAAGAGTTGGTCTTAGATGAAAAAGAGCCAGGAAAAACCATCAAACTGGGGATATCCATCAAGGGAGCTTTTCGGATCGAAATAATCGCCTTGTTACGGGACTTTTGGGACATCTTCGCGTGGTCGCCATCCGATATAACTGGAGTTCCTCGACATATTATCGAGCACAAACTGAACGTGGATCCAAACGTTAGACCAGTCAAGCAAAAGAAGAGGGTTTTCACTCAAGATCGCAATGATGTGATTAACGAGGAAACCCTCAAGCTGGTTCGAGCCAATATCCTGAAAGAGTTGCTTTGGCCAACCTGGTTGGCCAACCCGGTACTCGTTCGCAAACCTGACAATTCCTGGCGCATGCGCCAAGATTACACTGATCTAAAAAAACACTGCCCGAAAGACTGCTACCCCTTGCCCGTAATTGACCAAATGGTGGAAGGTATTACCGGTTACAGGACCCTTAGCTTCCTCGACGCGTATAAAGGATACCATCAGATTCACATGGCCGAGGAGGATGCTGAGAAAACGGCTTACATTACAGAGATATGAGTGTATTGTTACGACAAAAATGCTGTTTGGGTTGAAAAACGCTGAGGCCACCTACCAATGTTTGGTTAACAGGGCTTTCCATAGTCAAATCGGAAGGAACATCGAGATATATGTGGATGACATGGTTATCAAGAGCAATTTGGATGGCAGGGTGGTCGAAGACATGAAGGAGATCTTCACAATTCTGCGCAGAATTAACATGAAACTCAATCCAAAGAAATGTGCCTTCTGCGTAGGTTCTGGGAAATTCCTCGGATTTCAAGTGTCAAAGGACGGAATAAGCGTGGATCCTTCAAAAGTCGAAGCAATTCTTTCGATAGAAGCCCCAAAAACCGTCAAGGATGTACAGAAACTCACAGGATCTCTAGCAGCCCTTAATAGGTTTTTGTCTCGAGCAGCAGAGAGAAGCCTCCCCTTTTTCAAGACTCTAAGGAAAGAGAGGGGGTTCCAATGTACTGAAGAATGTCAAAAAGCCTTCCAGGAGCTAAAGGAACATCTCAAACGGCTCCCCATGCTAGTGAAACCGCAACCAGGGGAAGTCCTATATATCTATTTAGCTGTTCGAGAAACTGCCATATCCGCAGTACTGATTCAGAAAAAGACAACAAGGAGCTCCCAGTCTACTTCGTCAGCAAAGTCCTACAGGGGGCGGAATCACGATATACCCCCATGGAAAAACTCATTCTAAGCCTCGTACTCGCTGCCCGCCGGTTGCGTCCCTACTTTCAGGCTCATCTTATACAAGTCTTGACCGAGTAGCCCATCCTACCAGCGTTTGGTTAGCAGGGCTTTCCACAGTCAAATCAGAAGGAACATCGAGATATATGTGGATGACATGGTTGTCAAGAGCAATTTGGACGGCAGGGTGGTCGAAGACATGAAGGAGATCTTCACAATTCTGCGCAGAATTAACATGAAACTCAATCCAAAAAAATGTGCCTTCTGCGTAGGTTCTGGGAAATTCCTCGGATTTCAAGTGTCAAAGGACGGAATAAGCGTGGATCCTTCAAAAGTCGAAGCAATTCTTTTAATGGAAGCCCCAAAAACCGTCAAGGATGTACAGAAACTCACAGGATCTCTAGCAGCCCTTAACAGGTTTTTGTCTCAAGCAGCAGAGAGAAGCCTCCCCTTTTTCAAGACTCTAAGGAAAGAGAGGGGGTTCCAATGGACCGAAGAATGTCAAAAAGCCTTCCAGGAGCTAAAGGAACATCTCAAACGGCTCCCCATGCTAACGAAACCGCAACCAGGGGAAGTCCTATATATCTATTTAGCTGTTCGAGAAACTGCCATATCCGCAGTACTGATTCAGAAAAAAGACAACAAGGAGCTCCCAGTCTACTTCGTCAGCAAAGTCCTACAGGGGGCGGAATCACGATATACCCCCATGGAAAAACTCATTCTAAGCCTCGTACTCGCTGCCCGCCGGTTGCGTCCCTACTTTTAGGCTCATCCTATACAAGTCTTGACCGAGCAGCCCATCCAACAAGTCCTCCTCAAACCAGAAGCTTTAGGCCGTATGATGAAATGGACGGTCGAGTTGGGGGAACATCATATCGAGTACAAGCCCCGTACGGGCATAAAAGGGCAGGTATTCGCAGATTTCCTAGTGGAAATGCCCAGAGCTCCGGGAACCACGCAAGAATCAATACCGAAGAAGCAACTACATGAACATCCCTCCACAGATCCTCGAGCCTGGACCCTGTACGTCGATGGCTCTTCCTGCGAAGATGGGGGAGGAGCAGGGATCATCCTAGCAAAGCCGGTAGTACCTCGAGAAATCGAGGAAGTCAAAGAATACGACGCAGAATATTCCTACGCTCTGAGGTTCGGTTTTCCAGTTTCCAATAATGTAGCTGAATACGAGGCAATGATCACAGGGTTAAATATGGCCCTCAAATTAGGGGTTCAAAACTTGCAACTATTTAGCGACTCTCAGGTAGTGGTTAAACAAATCAAAGGTGAATACACAGTCCGTGAAGAGCACCTTCGGCCATACCTCGAGAAGGTCCTGGAAATCAAAGACAAGTTCGAAGAATGCTCCATCTCTCACGTTCCTAGAACCAGCAACAAGAGAGCCGATGCATTGAGTAAGCTCGCTTCATCCAATTTTTCTAATCTCAGTCATAAAGTCTGGGTTGAGATGCTCCCTGAACCCAGCATCCACCCTAAAGTTTCCCTGGCTATCACCGAAGATGGAGAAACATGGATGACCCCATTCATCCGATTCCTCGAGAATGGAACACTCCCCGATGACAAACAGGAGGCTCGGACATTGAAACTAAAAGCAGTCAAGTATACTCTAAGGAATGGGATTCTCTACAAACACGGGTACTTGTTACCCATGTTACGGTGTGTCGGACCAAATCAAGCAGCATACATCCTCGAGGAGGTCCACGAGGAGTTGTGCGGAGCCCACATGGGGGCAAGGAGCTTGGCAAAAAAGGTCCTTCGAGCAGGATACTTCTGGCCCACAGTCTTTAAGGACGCTTACCACTTCGTTCAAAAGTGCGACAGATGCCAAAAATTTTCACCAATAACCCGACAAACACAACACGAGATGGTAACCATACAAAGTCCTTGGCCATTTTACCAATGGGGGACACACATCATCGGCCCCAATCTGAAAGGGGCGGGAGGACTGCGATGGGTCATAGTAGCTGTGGATTACTTCACCAAGTGGGTGGAAGCGAAACCACTGGCCTCGATATCGGGAAGAAAGGTGTTGGATTTTTTCTGGCAGAACATGGTTTGTCGGTTTGGAGTACCCAAGGTGATTGTGTCAGATAACAGAACCCAGTTCCCGAGCGACCCTTTCAAATCATGGTGCGCGGAGATGCAAATTGAGCGTCGATTCTCCGCTGTCGCCCATCCGCAGGCAAACGAACAAGCCGAGTCAATTAACAGGACCATCTTACACGGAATTAAGACAAGGCTGCATAATGCAAAAAGAGCTTGGGTTGAAGAACTTTCTAATGTTTGATGGGCTTACCGCACCACGGCTCATTCCTCGACAGACGAAACGCCATACAGCTTAGTCTGTGGAATGGACACCGTTCTCCCGGTTGAAATTGGTCTAGCAAGTCCTCGAACGATTAACTTCGTTGAGGACACCAACAATGAAGATATCTTGACTAACCTCGACCTACTCGAGGAACGGCGAAACGCCATAAAAGTCTGGTAAGCTAAGTACAAGGAGATCCTTAGAAGAAATTATAATAAGCGAGTCAAAAGCACCGACTTCGTAGTCAGGGACTTGGTGCTTAGAAAGAACGACGCCAGTCGGGCAGAGACCCCGGGGAAGTTGGCAGCCAACTGGGAAGGACCCTATCGAGTCATTCAAGTCTCTCCATCGGGCAGCTACCGATTGCAGACGACTGACGACACGGGAGCCGTCCTCCCACGATGGTGGAGCATTCAGAATCTCTGCAGGTTTTATGTCTAGATTCCTTGCATACTGTTTGTGAGTTTGCTTGCTAAGTGATTTAATTGCTTTCATTTGTTTGCGTGTAATGCTAACCCGGGTCCTCGGATAATTATCAATAAGAGTCATTACGCATTTTTTCAAATAAAGACATTACCTATCCTATATATTTGCGCATGTCGACACTATCTTATGACTAGTCACCGAGATGGACACCCTCGATAGGGCCATCCTCGATTTGAGCCGTGTATTCAACATCCGGACCCCTAAGTCGAGGACTTCCCCTCGCACCCGCCGTACATCGCGGTATTAGTAGACCGAGGAATCTGTATCCGATTCCTCGATGAGGCCGTGTAGTTAACAGCTGGCTAAACAAAGCGTTATATAAACATTCTCGAGTACAAATAACTGACGCTAACACAGCTCAGCCCAAGTACAATTCCCTCACACCAAGTGCGGGGTAACAAAAAATAAAGGGGGGGGGGGATATATAGACATACATAATGTCTACCTAAATCCTGAGGTCCTTCCCCTTAGGGTTAAAACGAGAAGGCTTTATAAGGCCGGACCATCCCATCGACCTAAGCTTATGAACACAATGCCCGAGTTTATCCTTCAAATCTAGAATCTCCCAATCTTGGTCGTCGATTCTAAGAAGGTATTCCTTGGCAGCTGCTCGCTCCCGAGCTTCGTCTTTCGGATCGAGGTCGTCGAGAATAGGCAAGGAAATCTCGTTGTCCACCAATATATTCTGCAGAATGTTTGCTTGCTTTGAATAGAACTCCACCTCCTTGGTCCTTTTCTTCAGGAGGTCGATGGCAGCAATAAAACGTTTAGTGCGGATCTTTATCTGCGACTCGACCAAGGCAAGCGTGTCGATCTTTTCGGGGAACCACGGAGAAATAACGATCTTCTCGCGCCTCCTCAATTGAGAGATTTCCGACTTCAGTTTTTCCATCTCCTCATAAATGTTAGCCTCGAGGGTTAAGGAAGCATGGAAGTCCACGTCGTATTGGTGAAGTCGGCGCTTCCACTCTTCCTCTTGCTGCCTGAAGCACTGTACCAAGCGGGAGTGCGTCTGTAGGTTCAGTGCGTTAAAAGCATCTGAAAGTTATTTCTCAAGAAACTTCACTTTGTCAGTGTTATGGACGTCCCCGAATTTCCTCAGAATCGAAGAAATCATCGCATACAGGGGAAACTGAGCAACCTCATCTTCTTCAAGAATCAGTAGGTGTAAATGATGAACAAAGTACGAATCCTGGAATAAGGGACAGAAATACGTCAAATATTAAAGGTAAGCCGGTTTAACTGGCAAAAAGGTTCAAAAATCCCTACAAACTTTCTAAGGTCTACAACCTTAGCAACAAAAACCCTATTATAAAGAGAAGGTTCATACTTCCTTCTGACTCAGTGGCTATCCTGGCTGGCTCTTGTTGGTTTCCTCGACGGGAGGAGGAGCCGACATCCCTTCTGGCTCGGGATTGCTTTGTCCATCGTCCTCGGCTTGCTCCGAGGAATCTTCTTCCCATTCCACCTCGACACCAATGAAGTCCGGGGCCAACCCCGGCATGCGCACCTCCTCCCCGGCGTCATCGGGGAGTACCTTGAGGGCATCCCCCTCGAAGGATGAGATCTCCGTCGAGGATTTCATCTCAGAAACAGCGCCGCACAGTGGTCCGAATAGAGGGAGCTGGTCGTCAGAAAGTTGCTGCAATCCTTTCTTGAGGGCTTCGTGGAGTGTCTTCTTAGGATGCGGCCTTATAAATTGTTGAAGCCATCCAACATTGATGGTCCTCCCTCTTTCCATCCTTTCAAGGGCAGCCATCGCTACGCCATATCCCCCCAGAGCCTTGGCCTCATTGCTAATGCCCACAAGAATGCTTGCCAACCCGCCCATGGACACCATCCTTGTCCAAAAATTTGTTATCCAGGTCGGTAACTCTGATCGGGGAACATGAGTCTCCCAATATTCCGACAACTTGGCCTCGAGCTCCTTATACATGACCTGAACATTGGCCAGCTCTTGTTCCCTAGCAAGTCTCAGCGCCTCCTCACCCTTCCTCGAGACTTCGCTCGACTGCCTCTCCTGTTCGAGAAATCCCCTCTTAGCCTGCAGGCTAACGATGTCCTGCTTCAACGTCTTCTCACGCATAAGAATGCTAGCCATGGCAGTAGTTAGCTGCAACAAACACAAAATGTTAACAAGGGCATCGTAAGGTTTTTAAGAAGACATAACTCATGATAAGGAGAATATTACCATTTTCAGCGATTCTTCTTCTGTCAATGTCGCCGCTACCTCCTCGATGATGGGGCACTCGATTCTGTGGTCCCCGAAATGATATATGGCCGCAGCGGCAGTGTATGTCGACGAGCCATCGGTGTCCTTGACATTTTTCTTTTCTAGAGAGGCCTCGAGCGGCCTGAACCACTCCGGATGCCGCTCCGTCGCCGGACTTGCCTCGGGTGCTGGGTCCTCAGGCATTGGGACCTCCACTTCTTCGATAATAGGAGGGACAGCCTCCGATGGATCTGCGACATCATCCTCCACCTCGATCAGGACCTACTCCTCGACCGGCTTCTCTGCTCCCTCGAGAGTAGGAGTCTTCTTGGCCTTGGCACCCGCATCGGACGCCTTCACAAGCCTTCTCAGCTTCCTCTTCTTGGTGACTTTGTTGGACGATCCCTCATCATCTGAATTTTTAATTTCAAAAATCTGGGCGTCACCAAACAACCCAACGGTATCTTTGCTCGATGACATGACCTAAAACAAAAACAAAGCACATAACAAGTTAGTACCTTTTTTCTTCTCGACGTGAACCGGAGGAATGTATTGTTGCACTTCCGTGTAGCCCAGGATGTCCTCGACGGATTCCAAGGCATCGATGTCAACCCTATACCTCTCGATTCTGGCCTTATCGTGTTTGGACCAGGCATCTGCCACACTGCCCATTTCATGAGCTTCCCGATAGTCCTAAGCCATACAAAAATCCCCGGGAGCCGAAACAAACAAATAATTCGGCTTCCACGATGGGTCACCATCGAAGAGTTCTATTATGCGTTTTGCCTTCGAGGAAACGTTTGTCTTCACATTATACCAATCCTTTATTTGGTCGAGGGCACACAAACCTTAAAAAAGTACTTCCATACCAACAATCGAAGAGCTACTTTCTTTATTTCGCAGAGCCTCACAAATCCAAGAACTGCTGTGACTAGGTTTGGGGTAAATTGAGCAAGTGGAATCTTATAATACTGTACTATCCTACCAAACAGAGGGTGAAGGGGGAATCTTAGTCCAAGGAACATCGACCTCTCGTACACAGTAATTTTCCCCTCTGGTGGAGTATTAGCCCTCTTAGTACCTATGGGAGCTCGATATTCTACATCTATGGGGAAGTTATATTTTTCGGCGATGGAATCAGCCTTTTCAGTAGAATTTATGGTTGATGCAAAGTCGGGAACTGTTTGCGACGCCATATCTATCCTAATATATGCAAATCTAGCAGGGTTCAGATAAAGTAAAATATATACACCAATATACAGTGTTAAGAATGCCCGAAAGTTAGAGGACTTACTTATGAGATAACGCTTCCTGGGTGAAACCTATTGGACGGATTTTCAGACTCTGTTGATTCTCCTTGACGGCGGTATTCGGTCGACAGAGAAATCTGGAGCGCCGGAATAGAGAGTGTGGAGGTTTCTGACTGCAAGTTTGGCAAAAGAAACAAATGGCTAAAGTCTTTAGCCTTTTCCCCGGTTAATAAATAAGAGACGTTTTCTCTCTCCCACGACCCGACACCGTAGCCGAATTCCAAAGCACAATCATAATTGCCCAGCCGTCGTTTGGGAATCGTGCGCGTTAAAGGGGCATAATTTTCGTTTAGGCGGGATTTAAAAATCGGGTCACCTTCCCGGTTCGGATCCTTGCCCGCGGATAGTCACATCTGGATTGGGCTGAGGCTTATTTATTTCATATGGGTCGGGCCAGGTCAGTTTTATTTAAATGTCAAGTCTTATTTATTTTGCATAATTAACACTTGACAGGGGCACTTGACGAGTCCATATCGATTACCTTCGATGGGCCGGCCCACTACTCGGCCTTAGGGTCAAACCGCCCCGGATATGGCGGTGTATTATTACTAACCCTAGTAATAATCGGATGCTTCCCAGGTCTATAAATAGGGACCATTATTCCACAATAAAGGTACGCAATCTTGACTATCAAATCAATACAGACATAACCCTATTTTCTGACTTAAGCTTCGGAGTGTCTACCCTTGGGAGACGCCCGAGACTCTGTTTTGCAGGAAACCCTAGTCGGAGTTTCACCCTACATTGGCGGTACAACTTAGCTTGCAATAGATCAATCGTTCTTTAATTTTTCTTTTACTTTTTTATATTTGGTGTGTTATTGTATTTTAATTCAACATTGGTACTTCACAATTAACACCTTTTTTTACTTACTCTTAAAATGGCATATTAACTTGATCGTTTTGGATTGCTAGCTTTTGTTTTATAGTTTTTCAATAATGTTATTTTCTAAGGTTAATTCTTAAACGCTTTCTGAAGGTTCTGACAATTTTTTTTTTTGGTTCATTAATAATGAGTTAAAAAGTATTGCATATTACAACAAAACACACAACACACACACACACAAGTTCAGCAAAGTAGCATCTATACTATGATTAAAACTACAAAATCCAACTTCAAATAATGTTTTTTTTTCTTCAAGCATGCTTCTTGATTCAAGTTCATTTTAAGCAAAAAAAAAAAGAAAGACATATTAATAGAAAATAATTATTATCATTATCGATATGGATATATATATATCTTAATCCTTTGTGGTATAATTTAATTAATTAGCTTATCGGCATAAAACATTGACCCTTTACCAGTGGTTGTACTTGGTATAATTTTATATACATTAAGTACAGTTCCCTTTATGGTTTATTGCTTCCAACCTAAACAACCCAAAGTTGTAGAATATGGGATTTTTAACTAATCAATTCGCAAGTGTTTGAGTCAAAGAATTTATACAACCACCTCATAATGCCCGAATTGCGTCATCACCTTGTTCCTCGACCAATTAACCTATCTATCTAACTAATTCTATAAACTATAGTACCATTAATTCCTTTCAATAATACCTCAAGTACCTAGCTACTTAATGCATTTCCCAGAGAAAATACCTGTCGCAAATTCACAGTGATTCCTCCGAATTGCGTCATCCAAACTTCCCTTGATATAGTACCCTTTTTTTTGTGCTTCTTGATTTCTATCATATCAGTTTAAAGACTGAGATTTTTACACTTTGATTCATCCATGGAAGAACATTCAAGAATCCCAATGGGGAAAACAGTCAGAATTCTCAGAAGATCAGTTTACACTTTTCTGCAAAAGTATCAATCTTTCACCACAACTGCAGCAATCCTTGCCTTACCTTATGCAGCACTAGTCCTGTTGTCAGAATCTGCAATTCCATCATCTGCTCTGCTTCAGGGGATTCACAACCGGCTGCAATCGCTCTTCGATGCTGCCGGCTTTCCAAGGTCATCGGATTTCTTCGCAATTCTTAACATCAAGCTGTCTCAGACCATTGCAACATCTTATCTAATTTTTCCTTTCATCTTCACCTTCTTCCTTTTCACCAAGGCATTTGTAATCCATACTTTGTCTAATAACCGTAAGCCCGTCTCGCGAACCCCTTTCGCCTTTTTCAATTCTCTTTTCGGTCCCCTTTTCTACACTCAAATTTGCAACATGATACTGATGATCTCCGCAAATGCAACCTGTTTCTGCATCCTGTTCATCGCGTTCAACTGCGCCGATGGATTAGGCCTTGTGAACCCGAAAACACTGCTGATCTTTTCAGCCACAGGAGCTGTTCTGTACTCCATAGTTCTTGCAAATTCCCTCATCATTTGCAATCTTGCATTAATAGTCTCAGGGATGGAAAATTCCAGCGGATACATTGCGATCCTCAAGGCTTGCGTCCTGATTCGAGGAAGAACAGCAACAGCATTATCCTTGGCTCTTCCTGTTAACCTTGCACTGGCAGCACTTGAGGCCTTATTTCAATACCGAATTATAAGAGCAATTCATGAGTCAGAATCTCCCTTTTCATCCATTGTTTTTGAAGGGATATTCATAGCATATTTATACACAATTCTCCTCGTCTTGGATACTGTCATCGGTTGCATTTTCTACAGAAGCTGCAAATCATCAACTACTTCTATAGAGTTTGAAGCAGAACAGATATATCAGATTGAGTTTGAAGGTAAAGATGCCAATGTCATTTCCAAATGGAAAACATTGGAAACTCTTCCTTAGTTAGTTTATATACATCCCAAATGGAAAAACAGGGTTACTTTTTTGCTGCAAATTCATCCAATCATATGAATTGAGGCAATTATGCCCAGTTTTTTCTTTTCTTTTTTATTTTTTTTACTCTACTCTTTTTAGTTTTCATAGATACAGATTACAGAGGGAAAAGAAAATACCAATTTCATATACCTCACTCAAAGATTGTACATGTTTCTGATACTGCAGAAGATTTTTATTCCACAGAAAAGGTACATATTAATTACCATCCCTTTTAGGCTTCATACTCACTATGTTTTTCAATTCTGAAATATTGGTTTATATTTCTTCAATTAGCCAGATAGTTTTCTCTCTTCTTCTTTTTGGTTATAATAACTTTTTTGGGTTTTCCCTTCAGTATCAATCTCTTAACTTTGTTCAAACCTACTGGCCTAATGGGAAATGGAAGTTCTAACACCCAACCAAAGAATACAACAGCAAATTCACAAGTTTGTCTTTCTATTTCTTTTGGGACAAAACGTATGTGTGAAAGTCCAATATCAATTTGTAATGTAATGCCCAAATGCGGTAAAAGATGAAATTAGTTTGCCACATTTGGGCAAACTAATTTCATCTTTGGAATTAGAGTTCATTTTGTCACTAGAGAAAATTAAGCTTAATTAGCAACTAACCCTTTCTATCATAGAATCTCATTGAGTATGTATATTTCATCGAAATCGGATTCTCGTTGAGTATGTACATTATATTTTGTACGACAATTTTAGCACCAATTAATTTATTAAAAAGTTCAATTTTTGTTATTAAACATATTAAAATCAAAAAGTACTTAACGAACTAATTTTAAGCGATAAGTAGTATTATCAAACAGAGACTTAACAAGATAACAACATATAAGTGTTAGAGACGTATATAGTACAGAGTCTCATATAGTATTGTTAGAGGTTTGTAGTCTACTTATTAATAATAGTGTTGTGCCGGGAAGAATGTTTTAGAGTTTGTAGTTTATTGATTGTTAATTTGCTCTAATGACAGTTGAACTAACATAATCCAATTAGGTAAGCCACAATATGTCATTTAACTAATATTACAAAAAAAAAAACACGAATCAAGAGGTTCTGAGATACCAAAGGCAACGTCAAAAGGACATTCGAATTTTAGTGCTGTTGGCACTTCAATAAACTCTGAATTTTTTAATTAGGTTATTGCCTTTTGTTCGTTTGGTACAGAGTAGAGTTGACTTCTTAGCTTTTTACGCCATCAGAATTTGGTCAATAGTCATTGCTTTCGGATGTTTTTTTGTATAAGTTTCTCATCTGCATTAAGAAATGACCTAATTGCTAAACCCTAATTGCTATACAAAATATTGACCAAAAATTGGTGAGAAGACCATTAGATTAGAACGTTGACTTTTTTTGGAAAGGATTATAACGGATGGAATTTTTTTTTAATTTTTCATTTTGTTGGAAATGGTAAAATGGATGGATAATAAATTGTCAAATAGAGCTCTCTTTTTCTGCATTAAAAAAAGGACCATTCTGAAAACATCATTCCTTTTTGTCTAAAAAAATAATCTAGTTTGTCCACAAAAAAAAAAAAAATGAACTCTTTCGCAAAAAGAATGTGAAAAACAATCAAAGCCTATTGAGATTTTTACAACCTCAATTTTATTTAACTTTAAAAATTTACTCACACACAATACACACAACAAAAATTTAGAATCTAAATATAAAAATCTAAATATTTATTCATTCAATTTTCTAGATTTTTAATCTCCCTGTTCTGTCTATACTTAATCTGATTCGTATGGAGATCAGATCTAAATATAAAAATTTAAAATCCAACCTGCTCTTATTATACCGAAAAAAATATGAAATCCATTAAAATTTTAGAGCCGGAATAGTGAAATTTTTGTCTTTTTTTTTAAAAGAGTTATAATAAACATGGTCGATATTATATATTATATATTATTACGTAAATATATATATATATATATTTTTGCATCAACAATTAATTTCTCCAATTTTTAACCTTCATCAAAATCGATAATTTACTAAAATAGTAATCTTTTTCCTACACTTCATGCATTGATTGGTTAAATTGTTAACATTTGACAACCTATAACTTGATGGTAGAAAACTTTGAAAACTATTTCTTACTCTATTTGTCCACAAAAGAAAAAAAAAATTACCACTGGAAATACTATTTGATTTCAAGTAACACCACTTCCGCAATAATATCCACAAGACACATCAAACAATTTCCTTAAGACGGATTCACCAAATCTAATGATTGTGCACTCTATAAATACGTCTTCAATCATGAGATCACATAACTCGATCATCCCTAAGAAACAACAAGAACAACATGAGTCATACTTTCAAAAATTCATTCCTTTCACTTCTTCATCTGCTCATCCTATGTATTTTATGTACAACAAAACCTAATCTAGGATATCATTGGGATGTTACCATTAAGAGCGAGTTACCTAGAGATGGCAACACTCTAGAATACCATTGTTACAAGGAAAACGGTGATGATTTTGGCTGTCATGTACTTGATCCTTTCGCGGAGTTTCGTTTCGGGTTTGATCAGGGCATTTTTAAAAATCCAAAATATTATTGCACATTTTGGTGGGCTGGAAAAGTTAGATATATGGCTGTTTTCGATCGCAGAATAAGCCACTGTGTCCCAGGTCATATTGTCTTTTGGCTAGTGAAATCGGATGGTTTTTATTTGAAGACTAGATTTGATGGAAATCCTTTTCACAAAATAAATGAATGGAACGATCAATGATGAATATATATAATTGGTTGTATGTCATAATAATGATGATCAAAGTTTAAACTATGAAATATTTTGTTCTTGTCTGATTTGTTTATGTTTTATTTTTTTACTATGCTCCTTGTAATCTGATTACTAAAGAATCAAGTCACTACCCAATCAACTGCATAATGGCCTTTGTTTGGACAACCATTTTGTTTGCCTTTTGGCTCATTTGCCCTTTTAAATACAAATTTTAATGCAAAACAAAACACAATCCAAACATCAATTTAACTTACCTTTAAAAAAATATTTTAAACATTATTTTTACATAATTTTTGTCAACTACCACCGGACCACCTCTACCGCCGGCCACCAGCCGACCGGATTCCAGCCAACTCGCCAGAATTTGATCGGGATCCGGCTAATCGGTGGAGGCGGCCCCGACGGTGGAGGTGATCCGGTGGTGAGGGAAAAATTAGTGCGTTGGTCACTAAACTATTGTAAAGTCTTCACTTTGGTCACTGAACTATTTTAATTTCATAAATGATCACTATACTATAATACTATCCAAATAAAAAACTAAACTACCTTTTAAATTGCCTCTCAAATCCAAATCAAAAAAACTAAAACAAAACGTTGTCCAAACAAATTAGCTTCTTTGATGGAATTAAGCATAGTTGAGTTGAAAATATTAAAGATTCTTCCAGAAAGGACCATACATGAAATTAACACTGCAAATTAGATGAACAATAAGTACTTCCATAAGCAACTCCTGGTGAATAGGTTTCCATCAGTGTAGCGTTGATATAGATGTGATAGAGCATCGAAAGCTTTGTATTTGGGAAGACTGAAAATTTCCCTGGTTTATCTTGTGTTGAGGAAGGTTTAGCAGTAGTAACTACCATATAAACACACAATTTCGGGAAATTATTGCAGCAAAATTAGTGTTTCAAGCGTCTTCGTCACTGGAGAGCCCTGAAAATAGATGAAACTGACAAGATTATTGCGATTTTGCAAAAACAAGATACTCACTGAAACATAGGTCTGGAAATTAAGAAACACAAAGGATTTTTGCAAGTTAATGTGCCCCTTTTGTAATACTTTATCTGTCTCAAAAATAATTATCCGATTTTAATTTTCGCTTTTGATATAATTTAAATTAAAAATGAAAATTCAAAGTAAATAATCGTTTCTGAACGGAAGGAGTATATGACTTAACATTCTCAAATGACCATAGTCTCTTCTCATCCAAAACTATATACTCTTATTTGCTAAATCATTTGTACAATATCATGCAGAATTGATTTCTCTAGAATATATGTATTGAAAATATGAGTGTAAGGAACCAGTACATGATAAGATATCCTGTTTATTGTTAACCACAAGTTAAAAAATTCATGTTTTTAATACAGCCATGACAAGCAAAGGCAAAGGCTTGACCATGATTTAGGGCTGAAACCCCTCAAGTCAAGTTTTGGTTCCAACAACAGCCAAGCTAAGCTATTTGAGTCTTCTACCTAAATCATTTATTTCGTCTTAGTGGGGTAGTATTTGACATACATATTTGGAGAAATTTTCTGCTTGATGCAAAGAGACTTACTCAACTCAAATGAAAATTCGTGTGAATTGTATTCGCACTTACCCGACTCAAATGAAGATTCGTCTGAATTGTATCTGCTTTGAATTACCTCATAGTTCCTGTACCAAAAAGAAAAGAAAGATATGTCAGGCTTGTATGTTCCAAATTAACTTCCGAAATCTTGAATCTACCTTCCATGATAAGACTTGATTGTTTAAGATAATTTCATGGACACAATCGATCAATCGGGTAGTAAACATCACGTATAAAAAGTTCAACTTTAGACATTAACACTCCTACTTTTCGTTGACATTCCAACTAAAAAAAGCCCATCAAAATATGAAGAGAAAAAAAAAAAAAAAGAAAGGAAAACATCTAGGACAAGAATAAGTAGCAGAGAACATTTTCTCTACACTATTAACAGTATCAAATCGGTACCGGAAAAGAGAGCATTGATTATCTATGATCTATGATAAAACAATAATGATGTAAAAAAAAAAAAAAATTGCATAAACAACAATATCAGTAACGCCACCTACAACCATAAGTTTAGCTATTGTCACTATACAATTGTTATTTTAATTCTTTTTGAAAAAGGAAACTAATTGAGGAAGACAATAAGAAAAGAAAAAAAGGAGAGGTTAGTTTAGCAAACGATAATTTCATTCGGAAAGAAACACCGTTGTTCAGTTGAATAAAAAAAAAATGTATATATAAAGAACTAAAGATGAAACATCACAACAATATTGAGTCTGGGAGCTTACTCTTTTGTTAGTTGTTTCTTGTCGAGATATATCTGTAGATCTTCATTTCCATAATCCATCTGTGTTTCATGAATTTCCTTTATCGAATCAAAGACACGTGGACAATCCCTGACCTTAATCATCTGAAGGGTTGAACTTTGGGCTATACAAGAAGGGATTTCCTTTAAGCGACGGCAGCCTCCCAGTATCAATGTCTCAATAGATGGGAAGTCGTCATCCGAAGCCGTTGTCCATCTCTCCAAACTCATCATGTTGTATAATTCCAACACTCTGAGTTTGGGGAATGTGCCTTCTTCTTCAATGTCCCAATTTTCCCCCTCGTATTCATTCCAATCCAATCGGAGAGCTTCAAGATTTGGTAGCCTTCCAATAGCTGAAACTTCACTCCATTGAAGGCAAGTTGAATACAGAGATAGATCCTTTAGATTCTGGGGAAATCGAAATTGAAAAAGGTTCGTCCCACGAGAAGTATTGATGAAGAGTGATTCGAGTTGATTCAAAGTGATGAAATCCACAGTGCACTCTCCTCCACCAAGATCGAGACGACAGCGTAGTGTCCGGAGATTTGGTAACTTCTTCACTACTCCCACCATCGTTTGGCTGCAGGTGAATGTTACAATCGAGAAAGTCTGCAAATTCTCCAAGTTGGCTACGGGAATCTCTGATGGCAATACAAACTCCCGAGCTCCATCCAGATGCCTTAATTTTTTCATACCCCACAAAGTATCCGGCAACAAAACTCTCGCATTATCAACAATCAAAGTCTCCAAATCTGAGAGATTGAGAATTGACGATGGGATGATTATTTCTGAATCAAAATAAACTGTAAAAGCCAAGTATTTCAACTGGACAAGAAGTAGAATCACACATGGAAATGTATCAAACCAAAATAGTCGGCTTAAGACCAAAACTCTTATAAGCTTGAACTGGAAAAACTTGTATAGAGATGTTGTTTGTGGATAGACTTTGGGTTTTGTAACAAACAACAGTGTGCGTAGACGAGGATAGAGGGACCTCGATTCTGAGAATTTCTCCGCTCCGCTTAAATCAATAGTTAACCTGTACGGCTGGCTAGCCTCAACACAACCATTAAGCTCGTGACCATGTACCCGATGCATAAAGTGTTCTTTTTTGCTTCTTGCTATGGCGAAATCGCGTACCAAGTCATGAAGGACACACTGTTGCGTCTGACCTCGGAAATCTCTTTGTGCAACCATCACTAGATTTCTCTGTACCAACTCCATCATGTAACCCTTTGCAACATCCTCTAAGAACTCTCTTCCTGCAGTTTCCTGCACGAATCCTTCTGCAATCCATAGCCGTAAAATCTGGCGAACAGGTATTGATTGGTCCTCTTCAAACGCTCCCAGATAAAGAAAGCATGGTTTCAAATGGTTTGGCAAATGTCGATAACTCAACTCAAGAGTCTCCATGCACTGATCTGCAGCCATTGCACTACCTGTTTTTAGCATTTCTTCAACTTCTTCCCACTTACTTGGCTCTGTATTAGCGAGAAATCCTGCAACAATTAAAATCATCAGCGGCAATCCCTTGCAGGATTTTGCTATTGTCTTGGCACGAGCAATTACTTCTTCCGATGGACAACTTTGGTCAAAGCACATCTTCTTCCGAAATAATTCCCAACTCTCATCATCATTTAGTGCACGAAGATGGTGAGGTTCAGAGTGTGGATTGATTTCCAAACCAATAGTCTCCTGTCGACTGGTTAGGAGAATTCTGCTACCCTTATCATCGTCTGGGAATGACATTTTCAAACTATTCCATACTTGAGTATCCCAAATATCATCCAAGATGATAAGATACCTGATTCCCTTCAACCGTTTACGGAGTCTTTCAGCCAAATCATCTTCCCTCATATTTATTATATACGCTCCAGTTGAATTTTGGTCCAGACCGCTTAAAATCGCAATCAACAAACTTTTTGTGTTGTATTCTTGAGACACGGTGAGCCAAGAGCGAGCCTGGAAGTGATGAGAGATGTGGGAATGATGATAAACTTTCTTAGCCAAACTAGTTTTACCTAATCCGACCATGCCCACAATCGAAACCACATCTAACTGTTTTGTCCCTCTAGTGAGTCTATCGATGATGATTTTTGCCTCGTCATCGAAGCCCACCACTCTCTCATTGGAATCTGGGATCTTACCAACTGCTGGTGCCATCTTAAGGTTAGCTTGACTAATCTCTTGAAGTGCAATGGTTGGCTCCATACTCCAAGGAATCTCCGAGACCTGAGTCTTAATAAGCTCAATCTCTGTTATGATAACATCAAGCTGCACGATAAGGCTTGTCTGAAGTGGTTTACCAGCAACAACCAAAGAATCAAGTACAAACTCCGTGTCATAAGCTACCGCTGCAATGCGACTCGAGAGATCTTGGTTCGTCATGCCATTATCATGGACTACAAAAGATCTTAAAACTGTAAGATCATCGTGGAGGGCTTGGAACTTATCCTTTTCTGAAGAAACTTGAATCAGGAATGACTTTATTTTTTCCAAGACAGAGTCAATAAAACCCAACAAGTTTGTTTGGGGATATGCTGATGTTGGTGGAAACCTTGGCGCGTCTTCTTCTGCAGCCTTGAGAATTTGGAGTTTTGTCTCGAAATTGGAAAAAAGGAGCTCTAATTTTGCAACCAACCTTCCTCTTTGTTCTCCATTTTCTTGATAGAGATGAAAAATTAGGATGCCTGCCTCACAAATCAAAGGTCTAATGAGGTCATCAAGCTTCTCATGGTGCTCTGATATGGTTCTCAAGAATGAGAGTCCCTCATGCACTTTATGCATTTCGTGGGGAAACATGTCCACAAAAATGGCACCACGGAAGAAAAGGTTCAAAATCAGAAAAATGAGAGAATCCACAAAGTCTCTAAACACCAATGCATGAGTTTCTTTAGTGGGATGGAAGGAGGACCCTGAAAACTTTGAAACATCTTGTAAGACACCAACATAAATCTCACAAACACGCGACTCAACTGGCTGAATGTTTCTCAGAATTTCACAACGAGAAGTTAATGAAAGAAAACCTTCTCCAACCCGCACAAGTAGGCTTGCAGATTGAATAACTACCCGTTCAAAGTGAGTCAAGAGATCTCCGATGATCTGCCTATCCTCAAGTCCGTGAAGCGTAGCAAAGCGAATGAAGTTCTTCATGAACGTTATTGTTTCATTTGCGTTGGCAATCTGATGTTCAAGACTCTGAAAAGTGTGAAGAATGAAGTCGACGCTGTCCAGCAGTTGCTTCACATCTGTTCGAGAAGAAGATCTTGTTTGCAATGTGAGATCTGTCCCCAACATTCGGCCCAATTCCTCAATTCCTGGTTGCACCGATCGAATAAATCTCCGAAGAAAATCTTTAAGCACATCATCCCATCCCTCCGAATCATCTTCCCATCTCTCATCAGAATCATCAACCCACAGCAATTTCTCCTTCAACGTGAGACAAAGAAACGGAGTTTCCAGGGAATGTCTGTGAAGAGTCTCCTCCACTGTACACACTGCAGTTTCCCAGTCCACATCTTGTTCATCGCCCCACTTTCTTCCCCACAAATAAAACCATCTCCTCCATTCCAACAAATCCAGCAGAGCATCAAGTTCCCAATCTAGGAAAAAATCAGATAATTTCTGGCTGATGGACTGGAGCTCATCTAAGGCATCTTGAACAATAGACTCTGTGGAATACATCTCTGTAACTCCCAAAAAGAATTTGGTGAGAAAAGAACTTCAGGAGAAATTCCTTCTTTTTTTTTTTCTTATTTGAGAAGGTAATACTCTTTTAAACTCATTAATGGGACCTTGTAAAAATACTAGCTGGAGTTATATGTTATTGATTCAACAACAACAACAATAATATAAATAAGCATTAATTGTTTTAGAGAGATTGATATGCATTTCTTCTTTTTCTTTGGTTCCCAATCGTGTAAATATTGCTAAAGATTCTTGCTCCATCAAACCTACAAACAGTAATCCTGCTGAACAAAAGATTCGTACCTTTGTTGATAGACTTTTAAGTGATTGTGATTGACCAGATCGCAAATCTTCTCCTTTTCGGCCTTCCAATTTCCAACGGAAACTTGATCGGCCCCAAGATCTAAATAACTTTGCAGAAGTCAACGCAAATTCTTGATCCAATTAATTAAGAAAGTTTTTTCCAAAAAAAAACAAAACAAGGAATTCTTGGGGGTAGAGGGACTTGAGAGAAGAAAAAATATCAACAGATAACAAGGAAGTACTGAAACTTAAGACTTCAGATCAAAACAGAGAGTTGAGAGATGAGGAAATGAAAATTTCAGAAGAGAATCAAGTTCAGAGCAAACTGTGCTGGCTGGTGGGGCTGCTATTGTGCTTTGCTTTGAATAAAATTTATTAACAAGACTTGTGAAGACAGAACATTAATTAATTTAAATTACAATACTTACTATTAGATTATTAACAATAAAGGAGACTTGTCCAAAAGTAGTTGCTTGGGAACGGGGATTAAGCTTTACATGAAATTGATATAACAATGCAACTAACAGTAAAGTAATAGTACGGTCCTGTGTTTGATAACTGACTGAATCTGAATGACTGAATGTGGTAAATAAAAATGTCTCAATCTGAACACTAATTCCACTTAAGCTGTTTGATAATATTGCATGACTGAAGTCTTAATATGAATAAATTTACCAATATATCCCTATATTTAAATACATTGTTATTTATTATATTATACTTTTAAAATAGTACATATTTCCCTTAATGGAATAAATGATTTTACTTAAAAAGATTAATTATTTAAATGACGAAAATTGTTAAGAAAATAATCCTCAATGCAAATTAAAGTGTACAAATAAAAAAATCTACATAATATCCAACTTTGTGGCACAGTTTCTTGCCAGTTCCCCTCAAAATTAGCGACGTGGCGATAGGTGATTGGACCTCTCTTTCTTCCATTTGGGTAGTTTGCTCCTTCTACCTGGCGGCCTCGTTCGGTTGCCGTCATTTTGCTTCATCGTGGATCTAAGGCATTCTTCCGTTTTTAAAATAATTTTTGCATTTCCAGTTCTTTCCTCTACCTCTTTTTGTTTTTCCTTCATGTAATCGGTCTCCAGTTCCCCTTTCTTGCTCTCTGTTTGTGCTGTCTTTTTGATACGGGGAGTAAATCGGGAATCGGAAATTGAACAGTTCCCCTTTCTTTCTCTCTTTTTGTGTTGTCTTTTTGCTACGGGGAGTAAATCGGAAATCGGAAATTGAACGGAGAACTTTTGGATTACTGGTAATTGCTTCTTCTATGTCCAATTTCATTTGAAGCTCAAATAATAAAATTTATATACTCGCATAGATTTATGGTGTTTCAACAATTGCATGTATGTTTTTATAAGGTAGTAATTAGAGGTTTCAGCTCAATTCATTTTGTGTGTTCAAAGCTCAATCCCCTACTGTTATTTCTGCTTTCTTACATTTTGTGAGTCTATTTGCTTGCAGCTATCGGTCTGATCTTTACGCTGCTCTTAATTGTCCACTAATTGAAGCTATGTGGCGAGTTTGTATAACTCCTAATTGATTGTTCAACTATGTACCGCGCGAGCTTCCTAATGATTAACTAGAGTAGGATTAATCGTATAACTAAGTCAGGGCTAGCTTTTCCTAAAACTTAATTGCAGATCTCGTGTATATATGTAGTTATAGTACCATGAAATAAAACATCACGAAAGATACAAATTCAGGAGCCTTCACCTTAAAGCCATATTTTCATAATACTTGGTGTTCCGTCCTTGATTGACTCGGGCTTCCACGGTTGAATAGCTCGCTTCTCAAGTTCTCTTTTACTTTTGTTTGGTTCCACTACTGTCCAAATACTATCTTCGGTGAATCCTTAGTTAAGTTGGTATTTGAAGGTTTGGAGTTCAGAACATTAGTGACAACTCAAGGAAAGTAGAGAAGGTTAGATGATGATGCGATGGTTCACTTGAGGATGATTATTCACCGACCTTCATTTCCATCATTCTGTCCACCCGTCGTCCTACTCTTTCACATGCCATCATTAACCATAATCCTCTTTCTGTACCTTCCTCTATAGAGATTAATTACAGAAACCAAAGGGAGGGACGAGGAAGAAAAGCTAAAAGAAAGAGAGAAGGGAAAGGGGTCGAGTGAGGAGAAGAACGATAAAGGGAAGGAAAACCAATCCATTGATTAACTTGTTTGGCTGCTAAAGCAACATAAATCGAGATGCACTAGGATTATAAATGGATATCAGAATGAGGTAAAAGCACTTCCTTATTTATAGGCTTATCGGATTTAGTTCGAAGAATCTGAAAAATATATGTTTCCTATTTAAAGGTTCTGTCCTCTAATTGCATATTATGTTTAGTTGTTTAGGATTTTTTTTTGGGAGCTTGTTCATGATTATTGGTATTAGAAACTTTTGGATTACTAGAAATTACTTCTTGTATGTCGAATTTTATTTGGAGCCCGAATAAAATTTATATTCTTGCATAGATTTATGGTGTTTGAACAATTGCATGTATGTTTCTATAAAGCAGTAATCGGAGGTTTGAGTTTAATTCATTTTGTGTGTTCAAAGTGTTTGCTTTTAAGGTATGCTAAGTGTTTGATTATTGGTATTAGAAATTTTTTGCCTATAACCAGTTTGGAAGTGATTAAGTTACTGTAGTTTCTTGAATTTGAAGTCTTTTGCATGAAAGGTGTTTGAATTTTGGTCTAAACGAGCTTTTTTTAAAATGATGAAAAGGGTTTAGGGCTTTAGAATTGTAAACTTCAACCTTTTAATTTTGATGGTTACATCTTATGTAATATAAGAATTTGGAAAGGTTAGATTTACTCAAATTTTGATTTCAAGCTTTAGTATGTCTTATTTAGTTGAAATTTCTGCATTCTTGCTGAAATTGTGTTTATAAGGAAGCGTTTAGTCTGAGGACCATGTTTGTTGTTAAATTTATGTTGTTTTTGCTTCCATATACGAAGAAAAATATGTTAGAGGCTGACCTAAATTTGCATATAATCTGGTATTTGAACTCTATGAGCTTCAAGTTTTGATATCATCTATTTCACATTTCTGAGTTCAGGCCCTCTTTTGAGTTCAAGTTTTGATATAATCTGGTATTTTGAGCTGTGTGTTTGTTGTTTCTAACAAGCAACCAGCAGTAGCTTAACCAAATTCATGGATTACCATCTGTATAGATGTGTTTAACTTGCATGTGTTTAACTTGCATGACTTCATCGATTCTGCACTTCACTTTGAAACATGCACCACATCAGAATCCCTATACATGAAATGATACCCCTGATTCTGAATTTATTAAGATTTTTTCCTCTTCTTAAGTTTCAATCTAATAGAAATTATTCTACTTATATAGCTAAATACTTTATTAATTAGCAAGGTGCGATTATTTCACTACAAATGAATGCTCATGGTCTTTTTCGATAGATTACACTCCCTAATACAATTCTTAATTCTAACACAGCTTCATTTTGGTTTGATTACAAAATGATGAAAAGGGCTTGTTACTTTAGAATTGTAAACTTCAACCTTTTAATTTTGATGGTTACAGATTATGTAATATAAGAATTCGGAAAGGTTAGATTTACTCAAATTTTGATTTCAAGCTTCGGTATGTCTTATTTAGTTGAAGTAAATCAAGCTTCGGTATGTCTTATTTAGTTGAAGTGATTACTCAAATTTTGATTTCAAGCTTCGGTATGTCTTATTTAGTTGAAATTTCTGCATTCTTGCTGAAATCGTGTTTATAAGGAAGCGTTTAGTCTGAGGACCATGTTTATTGTTAAATTTATGTTGTTTTTGCTTCGATATACGAAGAAAAATATGTTAGAGGCTGACCTAAATTTGCATATAATCTGGTATTTTAACTCTATGAGCTTCAAGTTTTGATATCATCTATTTCACATTTCTGAGTTCAGGCCCTTTTTTGAGTTCAAGTTTTGATATAATCTAGTATTTTGAGCTATGTGTTTGCTGTTTCTGACAAGCAACCAGCTGTAGCTTAACCAAATTCATGGATTACCATCTAATTAAACTCCATTCCAATTTTAACAGTGATCTACTTCATTGCAGAACAGAATTGGTAAAGCCAAACGAGAACAGTAAAGATTTACATTGGCCTTATTGGAAAGTGCAGCTCATTGAAGTTCATACAGGTCTTCATTAGCCAACGCTCACCCCTAAGGTTAGGCTTTTGAAATGTTTGTAGTTTTTTTTTTTTTTTTTGCTTGGAAAATGAATAGGTTCTTTACTGAACCAGTCCTTATCCAGTTCACCATGGATTTTAAATTTATCTTTCCTGCTGATGTGAAGTGCAAAAAATTTAAGTATAATTTGTTTGGCTTCTCGGGTGACACAGTGGAAAATTAATGAGGAACTAGATTGGCATGGACTTAATTAGAAGTGAAAACTATAAAGTTAAGATTAGTATGGAATTCTTTTAGTAAAGACATCACTATAATAGTCGTAATACTCTAATCTACAAAGTGCCAGTTGTGTGTAGTCAAAATAATAGGAATATGAAAAGAATGCCTAATTGCATGCTCTCAGTTAGAGGCACCATTTTGTTGTGCACTTTCTGTTTCCTGCATTCTTTGAATTACACTACCACATCTTATTTAATAATATAAATTTGTTTTATACCTGTTTCAACAGTTTCAAAAGTGCGTTAAAGTTTCCAAAG